AGGATTCCCGGTGTTGTGCCATCTTTCTAATATGGCAGGTTCCAAGACTGGAGCTGACCGTGATGTCCCCTTTACCTTTTGTACATTCCTGCCAACACTGGCTACTATATAATTTACTCAGGAAGGGTCCCCAGCTTACTGATTAAGGCAGAGAAGAAAGATCCCATATCGAAAAGAAAAATCAACATTTTTATTTGCCATGCCAAGACTTCCTCAGGGCACCTGATGGTCACATGGAGTGAGTAGAGTTTTCTCCAGGGACCCTTGAACATCTTTGGTCTCTAAGGGCAAACATCACTGGAGCTGGAGGCCCAGCCTGTCTTCAGAGAGTGGACATATCTCTTGTAGTAAGTTTTCCGTTCTGGAGAGGGCAAAGTTCTGCTTTATTTACCCCCCTCCTTATCATGAGAAGTTACTTCACACTGCCTTGGTTTCTTTCTCCTGGCCCCAGTGTGCATTTCCCCCGAGAGTCCTATCTTTAGGCTGGGTTTCATTGAGGAGGCAGTTATTATCTGCCTGGGGGAATATATGATTTCCCAGGGCGAAAGTTATCAGTTACATTTGTCCTGGTGTCTATAATTATTTCCTCTTGGCCTTTAGACTGCCTTTATTTTATTCTTGTTGATTAAAAAAAAAAACTCCAAGAAAAAAAACCCAAATAATGAAAGTTACCTTGGAGTATCTGGAGTCTCACTGTCTGGTATAGTTTTCTTCTAACACCTGGAGTTCTGACTTGAATTAAATAACCGTAGCCTTTTCACACATACATCACCTTTGTTTGCCATGGTCTCACGTAGTTAAGGCCAGCCTAGAACTCACTATATAGCTGAGGCTATCCTTGAACTCCTGGTCCCTCCTGCCAGCCTAGAACTCACTATATAGCTGAGGCTATCCTTGAACTCCTGGTCCCTTCTGGCTCAACCCTCAAGTCACTGAGATTATGATACATCACTTTTTAATCTGTTTGTAATTTACTTAAATATACACATTTTTGTCACTTACTCAGATTCTGTTGGTTAGTCTTTTGACGGATTAAATTTCACACATGTATACGAGGCGTTTTGTGGTCTCCATCCCACCCCCGCCATTCTCCAGGATGGTCAGTCTTGTCAACCTGGTTGGATCTGTAGTTGCCTAGAAGACACATCACTGGGCGGTCTGTGAGGGCATTTCTGGGAAGGCACAACTGAGAGGAGGTCCTCCCTTGAGGTGGGTGGCCTCTTCCCACCAGGTTCAGACATTAGGAGGTCTGAGGAAAAGCAGCTGGGCCTACCTGTTTTCGCTGCCAGCTTGTGAGTGCTCCATTAGGACATCAGAATCAAGCCCTGTTGGGGTAAATGTGGACTCAAGACCAGTGACTGGATAAAGAGGAATCTTCCTGGCCTTCAGCACATGCTGGAACTGTTGAGGAGCATAGCTCGGTGGGCGGAACAGCTCCTAGATTCTCAGTCTCTCCAGCAGGTGACTTGTTGATTGATGGAGCTCCTGCTATTGGTGGTAAACTCCTTTAGTAAATCTCCTTTACAACACGCATGCACACACACACACACACTCACACACACACATACTCACTCTTTCACACACACACTCATACACTCACTCACACACACTCATACACATACACCGCTACACTTTCTGTCAGTTTGGTCTCTGGTCACAGGTGCTGCCTTTGCAGAGGGATCGCCCTTCTGTCCTATCAAGTGCTAAACTCATAGCAGGTGACAGCCCCTATCTTGTACTTTTATTTATTTAATTATTTTTTATTTTTGTTTTTTCGAGACAGGGTTTCTCTGTAGCTTTGGAGCCTGTCCTGGCACTAGCTCTTGTAGCCCAGGCTGGCTTCGAACTCACAGAGATCTGACTGCCTCTGCCACTCGAGTGCTGGGATTAAAGGCATGCACAACCACTGCCTGGCTTATCTGGTACTTTTACTAGCCTACTAAGCCCAGAGACCCTTCCCCTCTAAAGTCTGCAAGTAAGCAGTGTTGATTGCTCTGAGGGGAGCTATTGGGTCTCCTGCCTCAGCTTCCACCACTGTGAGTGACTAGCCTTACTCGAGATAATTTCACCTGACATCTTCATTCTTTGAAACACATGGTGTGAAACTCTGGTGCTTGAGAGGTAGCTGGTGTGGATTTCTGTGTGTGTGTGTGTGTGTGTGTGTGCGCGCGCGCGCGCGCACGCACGCGCGTGCTTTATATCTAGCCACCTGGCACCCCCTGCAACTGTTTGGCCTATTGCTCAGGCCTATTATTAACTAGCTCTTAAAACTTTACCTACAATTCTTATCTATGTTTAGCCACATGGCTTTTCTCAGTGAGGCATTCTCATCTTGCTTCCTCAGTGTCTGGCTTGCGACTGCATCTCTGCCTTTCCTCTTCCCAGAATTCTCTTACTCTGTTCATCCCGCCTATACTTCCTGCCTGGCCATTGGCCAATTAGTGTTTTATTAAATCAATACGAGTGACAAATCTTTACAGTGTACAAGAGCCCACATTATCCCATAGCCCACATCAAATTATTTATTTATTTGTTTACTTTCCCTCTCATCCCCCCTCCCCACTCTGTGTGGGTCAGAGGACAACTTTTGGGAACTGATTCTCTCCTTCTACCCATTCGGGTGCTAGAGTTTGAAGATCATTAGGCGTAGAGACAAATGCCTTTCCACGTGGAGCCATCTTGCCAGCTAGCCCCTGTCCCCACTTTTGAGCAGGCTTCCCCCTGGATCAGAGGTCAGGTGACCTTTCCTCTTTCCTGCTCTTGGCCCTCCCCCAGGTTCTAGCACCTTCTTTCTGAGGTCCTGTCCTTATCAGAACTTTGATTTCTCCTATACCCATTGCAAAGTTTCTGGGTTCTTAGGGACCCTTGTTCACAGTAAACTGCCCAAACTTCCACCACTGGCTTGGAAGCTTTCTACCGGGTTTAGGTCTGAGTCTATTGCTCTGATCCACACCGATTTCCTAAGACTGTAGGATCTCAGTGGCACACTCTGAGTTCATCCATTTCCAGAATGGAGAATGAGAATGACAAAGATATTTATCTATTCTTACTTTTCCTAGACCTTGTTGATTTAACAGACACTCTCTCTCCAATGGGCACCACTCAGTCATGCTACTTCAAAAGTCTCCTCCTTGGCTGTCTAGTTCAGAATCATCAACTTCTCTATCTGGGGATGAAAGCAAATGAAGGAAAATGTCTTCTCTCTTGTAATTCTGTTTGACCACAGTCATGACTTATTGACAGCCTAGGTCCTAAGAATGATACGTTTGACTTTAAAAACCTGAAAGAAAAAGTATGCAACCCGTGAGAAATGCTCTTGTGTAAGAGGTTTCTTTCACAAACCCAAACCGCCCCTTCCTCTCCACGCCATGGCAACCATCTCCAGCCATTCTAAATTCCTTCGTATGCTCTCAAAACTACAGCACAGATGTACACAGGACACTTTCTCATCCCTCCTGGGTCCTTCATGGGCTCCTGCCCCCAGCATCAGCTTTTGAACCAAGGACCAGGGCATCCACGGAAAGACGAAAGGAGATCTGGGTGACGTCTTTTAGTCTTCCCAGTTACAGCTGGATTTCTGCCATCAGCCTGTGGTAAGACTTGGATTCCCTCCCTGGATCGAGATAATAACATTCTCTACTCTTTCTACAACTTGCCTTTTGCATGTACATCTGTGCCTGGCTGCAGGAGTTTTCTTACTTCCTGACAAACCTTTATGATGTGTTTCAGAGTTTTGGTTTTTGTCTTTAGTCTTAGTTTTATTTTAAACTAATTCTCCTTGGAACAAAATTATTATTTAAAATTATTTTTTAAATCTGGAAGTATTTCCTTTAACATTTACCAAAGTCATATTTTATATCTATAACTTTTTATAACTTTTTGTTCTTTTATTTTTTATTACATTTATTGAGTGTGTGTGTGTGTGTGTGTGTGTGTGTGTGTGTGTAAGCTCGTCTAAGTGTGGAGATCAGAGAACAGCTTGCCTTCTATCCTGGGGACAGAATTCAAGTCATCAGGCAAGCGCCTTTACCTGATTAACCATTTTGCTGGCCCTCCATTTTCCCCTTTACTTTCTTTTATTTTTTCTTTGAACAAATTTAGAAAGTGTTTTCCTTTCCTTACTAAAACACTGAGCTCCAATTAAACCCCAAGGGGCTAGTTTTGAAACTGGCAAACCATCAACAGTCTTGTAGATTATTTTATTTACTTTTAAATTTTATGTCTATTCGTGTTTAGGGTAAACTGAACAAGGAGAGATGAAGATGAGATTAGAGATCACAAAACAGCCTCATCTCTCAGGAGACCGAGCCATAGAGACCCTGCAAGCCAGGCCAGTCTCTGTTCTTCGAAAACAAAAAAAAAAGTATGGAGAAAAGAAAAAGGGAAACTCTGTAAGGCAAAACACAGGAGTGGACTGGGTCCATCTTGCTAATTGATCGACCATCACAGAAAGAAGGAAGGATGCTACAGAAGAGCCCGGTGGAGACGCAGGACGTCCAAACCTACTGGTCTGCTCATTGGATTTTGTGTAGCTATTGGGTTGCTTTCTCCAGTTCCACACTGGATTATACTTATGCTGTGTGGTTTTTCACTAGTCCAGTTCTTCCCTTGGAAGGATCCAGCGCCACATCTGTGTAGGGTTCACTTGGATATCATTGGCTAAAAGTTCAGCTAAACTCTGCAACAAAGGTAGCTGAGATGTTTACAGACTATGCCAGGCTCTGAAACCTCTTTCCCCAAATTAAATGTAAGCTTATCTTACTCAAAAACAGGAAAGAATAGGGCCACCCAATATAAACTAAGCATAGATAGTGATTCATGGGAAATAAAAGGTTGTTGCCCCATAGAGGGACGTCATGAGCACACTTCCTCTTACAGCTTGTCCAGAATTGTGTCGGTTTTAGCTTCAAGAGAGGTTGGGGAAATGGAGCATGTGTAAAAGCATACGCGTTGGCTGGGGCTGGCTGAGCTGGCCACTCTTTAGCATCCTTGCTGCTGCCAATCCAGCAATGTTCTTCAAGGCTTGTGCATTGGTTGTGGGTGATGTTTTTGGGTTCTTTCTTGGGGCGTTCAGTAAAGTCCTAGCGTTGCTGTCGCTAGGGGTTCTTCTACAGGATTCCTAGTGACAAGGCTTCTGTGAGAGATTCTTTTGGAAGAGGCTGGTCGGCTGATGTCTTCGTTGATGATAGCAGCAGCATCTAGTGGTCCAAGCCATCTAATGGAGGGGAGGCAGCTCCTGGAGATGGGAAACAACTGGTCCAGTGATGCAATATTCCCTTCCCTTTGTTACTCTGCTGTGATCACCATCTTACCCAGAAAGTCCTCTTTCTCTGCTCTTATTTAATACAGTGTTGGATGTCTTAGCTAGAACTAGTAAGAGGGACCAATGGCTAAAGAGAGGGACTAATGGCTAGAGAGAGGGACTAATGGCTAGTGAGAGAGACTAATGGCTGGCTTGAGAGGCCAGTGACTAATAAGTACATAAGATGCTCAGCATCATTTGCCATTGTGGAAATGACAATGAAAACAGATAGGCAGTCATGCTCACTGGAGAGTCTACAATGAACGATTAGGAAGGAACAAGTGTTGCTGAGGATAAACAGAAAAAGGAGTCTTCATTCATTGTGTGCAGCCACTTTGGAGAATAGACCTTAAATGGCTAAACCACAGAAACAGTTTTACTACAGGATTCCGCAATTCCACTCTGGGTATATACAAGGAAAATGAAAATACATGTTCAGGCAAAGATTTGTACCTGGGAGTATTGACAGAGGAGGGGCAGCAGAGGGGTGGTGGTCAGGGCATTCTATTTCTTTTCCATTGCTCTGATGAAACCCTGACCGAAAGTAGCTTAGGGGAGGAGTCAATTTACCTAGCTTATTGTTCCAGGCCACGGTCCATCACCAAGGAAAGTCAAGGCAGGAACTCAAGCAGAAACCTGAAGCAGAAAGCATGGAGGGACACTGCTTGGAGGCTCCCTCACGGGGTCATGCTCAGTCAGCTTTCTCAGACAGTTCAGGAGCACCTGTCCAGGCAATGGAGCTGCCCACTGTGGGCTGGGCTCTTCTCCGTCTATCAATAATCATCAATAATCAACACATTCCCCCTACAATCGATGTCTACAAGCCAGTCTTACCTGGGCGTCCCTCAACCGAGTCACCCTTCCCAGACAACTGCAGGCCATGCCAAGTTGTCAGGTAAAACTAGCTAGGAATAGAGTTCCTTTTTGCATTAGTGAAATATCCAAAAATTGATTGTGTTGTTGTGTAAGTCTACTAAAAATAATTGGTTTATACATATTAAACAGGGACTTGTATACTTTGCAAATTATGTTTGTATTTTAAGTTTGTACCTACTAATAAAGTGTGACATTTCAAAATTAATACTGGTCCTGGGTTCTTTGTTTTGTTTTTCAAGATAGTGTTTTTCTGTGTTTTTCTAGTGTTTTGGCCTCGGACTCAGAGATCTATCTGCTTCTGCCTCCTGAGTGCTGGGATTAAAGGCATGAATCGACACTGCTTGGCAATACTGTTCTTGCTTATTACAAGAATTATTCTCTGGGCATAGATCCATGAGTTCTAGGCAAGCCTGGCCCACAAAGTAAGTTCCAGGGCATTCAGAGAAGCCTTACTTCAAAAAAAAATGTTATTTCCTTGAAATGTTACAGCTGGGTTGGAAGACTATTTGGGAAATTACAATGTGGTTTACATCATAAGTGCACGTCCTAACCACTGGAGATCCAAAGTCATTGCTTTGTGGAGCCTGAAACAAAAGAGCAAACAGCAAAAGCTATTGAGGGAGGTTGGGCCCTGACAGAACCGTGTAAGCATGCAGACAATTACCAAACAGTCATGTAATTTGCAATCATTTCAGTTTCTTAACAACCTACAAGAAGAAGAAGCACCAAGAAATTGGGTATATTTTTCTAAGACAGTGAAAAACAAAACCACTTCTGCCTCAAGTAGCTGGTAACTACTTATTTAATATTGAAGTATTGAAAACCCACAGTTCAAGAAAAATGAACCCGGTGCTAACATTGTTACAGAATAGAAGAAGAAAAGCAGGAGAGAAGGAAGACATGGTGCAGACCAAATAGCTAAACACACACACACACAACCACCATGAGTGTCTGTGAAGTGTACAGCTCAAGGTTCTGTCTGGGGGCTCAGAAGAAGAAACTCCTGAACCCCAAAAGCAAAGGAAAAGAAAAAGCAGAAAAGTCAAACTGTCCAGCTTACCTGAAGGCAAAGCAGGGAAGAACAAGAGAGAGTTCTGAGGATGTGAACACCCACTCTCCAGGTCAAAAGAAGCAGAAATGACAGCTAACATAGATGGTTCTGAGTCTGGAAGAAGCAGAGGTGGAGAAGAGGGGTGGAGAGGAGGGATGGAGAAGAGGGCTGGAGAAGAGGGATGGAGAAGTGGGAGAGGTGCTCAGTCAGTAGAGCATGAGACTCTTAATCTCAGGGTCGTGGGTTCAAGCCCCACATTGGGTGCCAGATGAAGGCGAAGGCATAAGTCACAAACAATCCCACAGCAGTTTGGAATTATGATTAATAGAATGGTTATTTATTTAAAGGGGAAAAAACTTACAGATCACCATCCCAGACAACAGCCCTCTACGCAATCAGGAAGGGAGTCTAGTCACCAGAAGTGGAGCAGGAAGTAAGAGAGAGAGAGGAGAGGGAAGTTGCTGCTTTTTTAAAGGGAGAGAGACCACGCCTCAGTGGGCTGGTATCTCAGCGGCTATTGGCTGGAGGAGCGGAAGGACCTCCCGCAACAGACCACTAAGGCATTTCTACAGCTTCACAGCCACAGCTGTTTGAAGGAGAGTCCTTGTTTTTCTAGGCGTGGATTCTGTTCTACAGAAGAGGGAAAGAGTGGTGGAGGTAGAAAAGATGATCTTCTTCTTCTTCTTCTTCTTCTTCTTCTTCTTCTTCTTCTTCTTCTTCTTCTTCTTCTTCTTCTTCTTCTTCTTCTTCTTCTTCTTCTTCTTTTGGATTTTCAAGACAGGGTTTCTCTGTAGCTTTTTGGTTCCTGTCCTGGAACTAGCTCTTCTAGACCAGGCTGGTCTCGAACTCACAGAGATCCGCCTGCCTCTGCCTCCCGAGTGCTGGGATTAAAGGCATGAGCCACCACCGCCCGGCTCAAGGATGATCTTCTTAAAAGGGAAAAAGAAGCATAAGAAAAAACACAGAGAGAAGAAGCGGCCTTCTTGACTGAGCCACCAGGTAAGTGCCCCATTATGCTATTTTCCATGGTAATTGACAATGTTCAGCAAATTGTATCTTAATAAAGCTGTTTCTTTTAAAAAATGCTAAGTGTTGTGTATTCTAGGAAGTGAATGCTGCTCGAACCTCAGACTTCAGAGGGTGGCAGGGTACTTGAATGAGGGCTTGACAGCTTGTGGTTTGGGTGTGTGCAGAATTTCTGCGATTGACTTTTTCTAAAAAAAAATTTGTTGGGGCTGGAGGGATGGCTCAGAGGTTAGGAGCACCGACTGCTCTTCAAGAGGTCCTGAGTTCAGTTCTCAGCAACCACATGGTGGCTCACAGCCATCTATGATGAGATTTGGTGGCCTCTTCCAGTGTGCAGACAAACATGCAGGCAGAACACTATATACATAATAAAATACATCTTTAATTTTTTTATTGATTCTTTGTGGACTTCACATCACGAATTCCAATCCTACTGACTTCCCTATCCCCTTGCATCCACCCTCTGCCTCTGCAACCTACCCCCCAAAACAAAACCAAATTTGAAAGAAAAACCAAAAATCAAACAAGAAAGAAACGAAACAGAGAGTTAAGACTCTTGTTGTGGAAGCTGTCGTGTGGCTGTTGAGTCACACGGTTTACCCTTTAGTCCATTCGTCTTTGCAAGTGTTCATTGCCATGAGTCATCAGTGTGGCTCCAGGCCCCTGGCTTCTGTTACACCACGGCTAATGGGCTTTCTGTGTGGCTCCTCTTAATATCCTGTTGTTAACCTGTGTCATGGAGTTCCTACTGCTTTGGATCTGCAGGTCTGGCCCCTTCACCTGCTCCCACTGTTCACAGATGAGGTGGATGTTGGGATGAGTCAACTCATAGCACTGGTTCTGGGCCTGGGTGGTAGCTGGGTTGGTCAGCTGGCTAGTTTCCCCTTATCCCCATCATTCCATCACTGCCTCAGCTAACTCACCCAGTGCAGCCTGCAGCTAAGGGCAGGACCAGTTCTCCTGTTCTCCTGTGTGCAGCTGCTGGTGTTGGGCAGGACTAGTTCGCTCACCCTCATGACCCCTGGTCCAACTCCCTCACCTGCCACAGGTAGCAAAGGGTGGAGCCACAGGTAGCCAAGGGCAGAGTCAGGAGGGCATCTTTCCCTCATCCACGCCACAGCACGGCAGACGGGTGGTGGGGTGGGTTCGGTTCTCCTGCTCTCAGACCCTCAGAGTCAGCTCACTTGCATCCTGACCACAGGGTCAGCTCTGGTGTGCTGCCCAGGTGAAGCACATATCTGTGGTGAGGGGTGGGGCCAGCTTTCTCAGAGTGCCGAGGTCAGCTCTCCCCTGAGGGGTGTGACCAGCTCCCCCTCTGCACTAGCCAGCAAGGGACAGGGCCAGCTGTCCCAGGGTCCGTGGAATTTCCAGGGACACCCCTCTGCTAGCACAGGCCATGGACATCACCACAGATCCTAGCTGCAGTAGGACCGTGAACTCAGACATGGCCTTCGGCAGTAGCCCTGGCTCGGTCAACACCATGGTTCTGGGTGACAGCTCAGGCCTCTCAGATCAACATGGCCCTGGTGGTGACATTGCCCTTGGACACGCTCATGGCCACAGGTTGCTGCCTGTGACTGGCTTTTATTTGTATCTGAGAGACAAGAAATTTCCACAGTTTTTACTCCAAAGGAGTGTGTCCTTGGATACAGAATGTTGCTCACAGCAGAGACCAGACAAACAATGTACTGAGAGTGCCAAGCTGTGTAGTCAGGGGTTGGCCATGCCAAGTATCACTCTGTTGACTGGAGCTTGGGCAGCAGCACCCACTTGGGTCCATTATCAGGGATGTTCTGATTAAGGTCGTGATGGCTGATTTTAAATATTAACTTGCCACAGCTCGGAACGGTCTGAGTAGGGAGCCTCCATTGAATAATCGTACATATCTGTCTGGCCTCTGGCTTATCCATGGGGAATAGCTCTGACTGCCTTAGTCAGTGTGGGAGGAGCCACCCCAAGGCAGGCAGCATCTGCTGGTAGCAGCGCAGATTTTCAGGCCAGCAAGTTAATTTACCTTGTTACTGGTGCTTGTTCCTTTGCTGATACAAGGACCGGTTTTTTTCTGGGTCCCACCATGGCCTAAGGGAGGCCTTATGGCTTTCCAGGAAATCTCCAGGCCTTTGGTGCCAGGTTTGACTCGTGGAATGAGCAACTACCATGTTCTCAGCTTTGCAGGTGTGAGGCTCACTATACTTTGGCCGTATTGCATAAGCTGAATTAATAGGTCACCCTAGCAGTCCTGTTCCTCCCGAGGACCCTGACCAACACAGGTATGAAAAGCAGTGGTTTTGATTGACACCCATCACCAGTGATGATGGTGATGGTGTGTGTGAGGGGTGTGATCATAGGCATCCCTTTGCTGTCTACTAGGTTCATCCCAAAGTTTCCAAGGGGTGACCTTTCTTTGCACCATGGCACATGTCAAGGGACTGAGAACAGGGAGGTAGTTTCCCACTGCAGTCCAGATTCGCCAGAGGATCTGCTCTCCATCTTGTGGGTGCCATTTCCATTGTAGCAATGGGATCTCAGGGCTTTGTTTCACTTAGAGGTGCTGCTTCTAAGCCATGTTGGGGAGCTGGAAATCTCAGGGTCTGTACCTATAGAACAGCCCAGCGTGGGGCCTGCAATGGTGCCAGAATGAAACATGGGTGTGGCCAGATTCTCGCTTGCAAAGACTTTGATGGCAAAGGTGCTGACATACGTTGAGGAAGGTGGTAATGGTAAATTGCAGCCCTCTGAAGGACAGGGAAGGAAGGCTGACTAAGTAGCAGTTGAGACAGTGCTGAGTAAGGGTATTAGCCTCGTATAGAATAGCAAAGCGGGTTCCACATACAGAAGTAGGCAGCAGCAGGGTACTTAGGGGTGAGAAAGAGGTTCAGGGGGATCTGTACATTAGGTGCCTTTACTAAGCCCCCCAGAAGCACTCTGATTTGAATTTGCCTGCCTCCTCCTGGATCCCTGTCATGTTTCGAATAAGAATGGTCCCCATGGGCTCACATGTTTGAATGTTTAGTCACTCGGGAGTGCCACCATTTGAAAGGATTGGAAGGATTAGGAGGTGTGGCCTTGTTGGAGGAAGTGTGTTGTTGGGGATGGGCTTTGCAGTTTCCATAACCCAGGTTCAGTCCAGTTCTCTGCCCGTGACTCAGGATGTAGTTCTCAGCTACGCCTTCAGAGGCTGTCTGTACGCTACCACACTTCCCACCAGGATGACAATGAACTAAGCCTCTGAAACTGTAGGCCAGCGCCAATTAAATGCTTTCTTTCAGAAGAGTTGCCCTGGTCATTGTGTCTCTTCATAGCCATAGGACAGTGACTAAGACAGCCTGTGACAGGGATGAGGCTTTTTTTCTCTGCTGTATCTCCCAGGCTCTTCATAGCCTCCTTCCCCAATGACAGCCAGGGCCCACTCCCACCACCCCCCGGTTTCTTAGAGATCACCCACAGTAGAAATAGGAACCTTCTATTTCTTCAACAAGATCTACCAGGCTTGGAAAGTCAGTTCATAGAGGACCAGACTGAGAATTTAAATCTTTCCCTCCTTTAGCTGCAGGGCCTGACAGAAGCAAAATGATCCTCAGAACCCAAGCCCCGCCCTCAGGTAGGTTGTCTTTGATCAGCTTGCTAGATACACAGACAACTAGATAATTAGACGGCGAGGCAGTCCAAAGCCAGACAACAGGTCACTGAATAGCTTGGCAGCCAGACAGGGGCACAGCACTGTCTGAGGGGATGTTTGCTGGCTCAGAGCTTCTGTCTTCATCCACCCTGCTCTTAGGCCTGAGCTAATCAACCAACCAGACTTAAGCAAAACTGCTCCCTGGACCTGAGTAGCGTGAAGAGAGGGCTTTCCTAAGGGACTTGGGAAGAGGAGGTCACATTTAAACTTGCCACAGCCCTTTAAATCCAGGACAGGAGTCAACCCAGAAGAAGGCAGGAAAGACACAGAGAAACCTTGCTTGAGCCCTGAGCAAGCCATTCCTGAATCCATACCGCATTCGATTTCAGAACCAGGGGGGTGGATTCTCTTTTTGCAGGAGTCAGTTTACTGTGTCTCTCTTCCATCCTGTGGAGAATGCTCTGGCGGTCAGGCTAGCCACTGGAGTATTGCTGCTTTGGGAGTCTGAGGTCTGCTTGGGAACATCTTCCTGGAAAACTGCTTATTTAGGATGCTGGGTTTAAACTGGAGTTTATTTTAAACGAGCTGGGTCCACAAATGTGCCCTTTAGGCTGCGAGGGCTATGAACCTCTCAGAGATAGCCTTTTCACCCTGCCTTGCCAACAAATGGAGCTGAAGTTTGCACCGTTCCCTGGAATTCCTAGTGGGATGTGGACAGAAACAGAGCTTCCTGCAAACTGGCCCTCAGTGTCTGAGGACTTCTTGGTCCAGGAAGTG